TTGTAGACGTGATCAGGTAACGCCCAGCTGTGAGGCGGGCACGGCTGCCTCCTCCCCTGGAGAGGGAAGGATGGCCAGGGTATTTAGCAGGAGCTGGTTATAATCGTGCCTTGTTTAAAACTGAGAGCTTGGAGAGTGTGATGGACCCAATTCTCCTTAGATTTATTGGGGAAGAGGGACAGAAATTACATCTCACCCTAAAAGGAGAGTGCAGGCAGTGCTGAATCCCATTATAGTCAGAGGAAAAAATCTGGATTACATATTCCCTATAGTTTTAGGATGAAAGCTGTAACATGTTTTACTCTTAGAACCCTTTTTGCCTCCTGCCTCATCACCAAGATTACTCCACACCCTTCAGTAAGGTTTGGACTGATCATCAGAGCTAGGCCAGGCTGGATGGGGCTCTGAACAACCTGGTCTAGTGAAAGGTGTCCCTGCCCATGGCAGGGGGTTGGAGCCAGGTGATCTTGCAGGTCCATTCCATCCCAAATCATTCTGTGATTCTCTTCTATGATTCTAAACTTTCCTGTACACTCAGCAATTGCTGAAGCATGCTTGAGTCTCAGGAAACAGGGGAGGAAAATAGAGAGTTCATTATTTTATGAAGGGTACATGTTTGTAATATCGCATACTGATGGGTTCATTATGAATTACAATTTGCTGAATAGGAGGATTCCTGAGAGGGACAGTGCATGGAGAAAGAACAAAGGCAAAGGGAGGGAGGTGATTTTTATGCCTGTAAAGGTGTCTCCTGGGCATAACCAGAGTGGAAGATGTACCATTTCCTTCTAGCTGTTTGGATTTGTTTGCAATTAAAGTCTAGTGGAGGTGTCAGGGGCTGTTGACAAATATATTATAGCCAACTTAGGTTAAGTGAGTTACTTAAAATTAATCCATCCCTGCACAACACTCCTGTTTCACTTCACAGGAATGTGCCAGGAGGAATGAGTACAATCCTGACCATGTTAGGAGAACTTCCTCAAGGTGGAAATTTGCAAATAGGGCTACTGTAGTATGTAATGAGAAGCTGCAGGGCTTTCAATTATCCCACAGTCTGTCTCTCTGCAATCTCTGCAACTTGACTGACAGCTAATTATGCTGGTGCCATTTTTTGGCAGTGGAATTTAATCTCCCAGATGGAAAGCAAATCAATCTGCCCATTGCTGCAGCTGAGGCATACTTTGGCTCAACTTTAATTTATTCTCCTAAGCCTAAGAAGGTTAGTCATTTCAAGGTACAAAAATATCAAATTTCTTCCGTTAACCAGGCTGGTGAAAAAGTGGGGAAGAGTTGGGATTTTATGAGCTGTGCTGTGAAACGTTGTTGCTCCTTCCTTTGTATTAGGAAACAGCAGTATCATCTGCCCTTGATTCCTGGTCGTGGAATCTAACAAGAAAGTAGCATTTATGAGCAGGTTGCTTGTGATAATGGTTAAACATGAATTGTGGAGGCATTAAGTGGGATTCTATAGAGGACTGAACTAAATCTCTGAAGAACTTGACACAAAAAGGAATTGGTGGCAATTTTCAAGCACTTTAGCCAGTATGCAATAGCCTGGTTCCCTTTGGGTTTCATGTCAGGGATATAAATACAATCCTCCTACTTACCTGCACTCTTCAGGCCTATCAATTATGTTTCTCCCTCCGAGTTGCTGTTACAACTTGAGGTATTACTGTCCTCTGTAAAACCAGCACAGAGCAGAGTATGTGACTGGTTAACACAGGCTATAGACCTCATCTTCGAGTAGCCAGCACCTGCAACTCCTGTCAACGCTGTTTCTCAGGCTAGAAACCCCAATTTTAGCTAGGATCAAGGAGAAGGGAGCTCACAAAAACTTTGTGCTAATGAATGCTGGAAACCTGGAGCCTTATTTTTCTGTAAACTTTTGCCTCTCTGGTTGTTTCAGTCGGAGTATGGTTCTGACATCCTTGTCTGTGTGTTAGTATTTTCCCTTTTGGAGTGCTTTTTCTGAATTTTCTGGAGGTGTTTAAGGCCTGGTTGGGCTGGACTCTGAGCAACCTGGTCTAGTGCAGTGTCCCTGCCCAAGGCAGAGAGTTGGAAAGAGACATCTTTAAGGTCCCTCTGACACAAACCATCCTAGGACTCTGATTCTACCCTGTTTTTTGGAGAATTTATACGAATAGGAAGGTTCTCAATTCACCTTCTTACTGAAAAAAGCATTTCTAAAAGTGCTTTGCTCACACCTAATGACTCCAGTTCCAGTCTTCCTCACATTTTCACAAGTAATTTCAGTGACTCTTCCTTGGTACATTTGGTGGCTGAAGGATTACACACTCTCCTATCTAGCTATTAACACATTTTTGTATTGACATATTATCCTTATGTTTATGTTGGTACTGCTCCCAATGGACCCTTGAATTGCATTTCCCAATTGTGATAAAATCTTGTAAATGGAATCATTTTTAGTGACAAATCTCTGGAGATGTCCCATTGGTGCCTTTGTTACTCTGCTGCACACTGTGCTTCTCCAATATTATGGTTAAGGGGGCTTGAGTTATTAATCTAAAATTTATTTTTTAAAAAGTCTATAATTCATTAAACAATTAGAATAATTATTTGTTCTCAACTACGCTGTAACTTTAAATCCTGATGATAAAATGTAGTGTCAGACCTGCAATCTCTGAGTCAATCACACGGAAGCAGTGCAGTCCCACCTATTCTTTGCCTAGTTGCTCTAAAATAGGGAGCAGTGGTATCTCCAGGATGCAACAGAGATCAGGACAGGCAAAGTCTCTGCCATGTGTCTGTACCTTCTGTCAGGGTCATCCTTGCTCAGCCATCTGACTTCTACTGATGTGAATTGAAAATGCTATTGGCCACAAAATGCTTTTAACTTCTTTACTTTGAAAGTACTGAAAAAGTTAGAGAATGTCTATTTTAACTGCTGTGTTCAGGTAAAAGCAAGAATGAACTTACCAGTATGAGAAGAAGCTGTAAAGGTACCTCACTGACAATTTTCCATGTGTGGTCTTCCCAAAGCATGACTTTTTGTCAAGTGCTGCTTGCATGTTTAGCTACACCAAGCAAAATGCCACAGAGATTGCCAAAGTAATGTCCCGGCCCCAGTGCACATGTTAGCTGGAATTTCTCCTCTTGTTTTCCTTGTTATGAATGTAACCTGATACGTTACTTTTTAGGTTCTTGAATAGATGCCATAATCTACTCGGGCTGCCTGAGGTCAAGCTTGTTCTGGGATCTCTGGCTCCCTGACAGTCTGCTGGATTTCGGGACCTTGGAGCAGCATTCCTTGGGCTGTGGAAGATGTGGGTGAACACGGATGCCTCTGGGCCATTGGAGGAGGAAGAAGAGGATGCTCTGATGTTTGTGTGGAAAGAGAATATGGCGGTGCTCTGCATGAGACCAACTCCAACACTGGAAATGATTTTGGTTTTGTTTTTTCCTTACAAAAGCACCATAATCCCAGCAAATAAAATGGTGCATCACAGGTGATCCCAATGAAGTCAGCCAAACTGTTGGTGGAGCCCACAGCTAAAAAAGGAACTGAGATGAGACCAGAAGAAGCAAGTTCACATGATTTGATATAATTCTGTTTGCTTTAGGATTTTGTAGTTGAAAGACAAAAGCTGGCCCTCCCAACCTGGTGCAGTGTCAGAGGGATGTATGAAATACCACTGGAGGTTGTACTTTCAACTACTTAGAAAATATCTTTGGATAAACACTTCTGTTGGCATTAAAACTTTCAGAGTTTAAAAGAGTGATATTTAATACAGTATAGTAAATTCTACCACTGCAAACAGATCAGGATTCTGTTATCCAAATGCTCAGTGTGGTGTATGCTCTCCTGTGTTAAGAGTCCCCTCCTGTGCTGAAAAGGCCCATTTCACTCCAAGTCAGCCGCTCATAAGACTTTTTTGGTATTTTTCAATTCCTTTAGTGACATCTAGTGAAACTTGGAGAAAGTGCAAGTTCAGCTGAACTCCAATGATCAATCCAACTGCAGTAGCAGATGCTTGACAATTAAATGCCCAAAGTACTGCACCTTATTTCATTTACTGTCTGTTAAGCTGCTGCCCAAGGAATGCACAAATTTTAATGCATTATAAATTTTAAAGTTTGAGCTCATATTCTGTCAAACACTTTATGCATTTGAGGAACAAAAATAATTTTCTCTTTGTTCCTTTTAACTTTGGGTATATATTTACAATAACTTTTATTTTGTATTTTGAACTTTGCCTTCTCTTATTGATTCCACTGCTCCTCTATACTGGAAGGCTCCAAGTATTTTGACTTCCACACAAAACGCCCCAAACTTTTGCAGGATTTCAATCTACACATTTTCAATATTTGGTAACCCTCAGCTTACTGAAATGTCAGATTTCGTCAGCTTGTTGCTCTGGGCCAGTCCAGACTGGATGTGAAATACTCTTTCATCAGCAAAAAGTTTTCAACAGAGATGGAAAACGTATGCCTCCTACGCAGAAATCAGCTAAAAACTTCAAAGGAAGAGCTGCCTGCTTCAGGGCAGCATCCACATCCGTAGCTCTTAATAGTGTAACTTCTTTTTCCCAAAGTACAAACTCAAGTGACATCTATAAAGGTCTATGTTGCTATGGATTTCAGCTGTGCAAAGGACAGTGCCACCACTACAAATGATACGGAAAAAATACAAAGTAGCTTCAAACAGGCCAGTATTAGATGACTATAAAGAGTTCAAAAAATCTTAGAGGCCTTGCTGGATTTAAAAGGCTTCAACCTCCCAAACTGAATAGACCTAATTAGGGCAGATTCTGAACAGGAGGATCTGAAGCAACAACTGGGAAGTGTGAGCACTGGAAAAATCCCAGCTGTGAGCATCACTGTGCACACTCACATGCAGCCAGCAGAGGGAAGATGCCAGCATATCCAAACAAGCTTCCAGGTCACTGATTCTGATCTGCTCTCATCCCTCTCAGAGCTAACTTTTCAGAACTTAAAAAATAAAGGCTTAAAGGAAAAATCAATCCAAGTATAGCAAGAGCAACAGTTCAAACATTTTACTAAATCAATTCACACAGTTTCAAAATTGTAAATATAATTAAGGACAACAGGGTTTCTGTATTTTTTCCAGAATCATTAAGACAATAAACAAACACAAATTAGGTTTATAGCATCTGTTCTTTTAAAAAATGAAAGGAACGCCACTTGATGTATTGATAAAGCACCACGACACAGTTACAAAAGAGGGTTGGCCTGTTTCTTTCACAAGTAAAAGACTACATACTCTTAACAGCTTCTGGCTTCAATCCATACTTCATTAAAATAAAACTATAAAATCTTCTAGATTACACAAACTTCAGACAATGCCTGGTATAACAGTGCATTAAAAGCACTAATGCCAACTATCAGTGCCAACATAAAACAGTTTAGAGAGGAAAAACAAAACAAACAAAAAATTCCAAAACAAAACCCTCACCTTTATTTCCCTAGATGAGCAAAATTTAAAATAAGGGATGTTCTGCCTCACAATGAGTTAAGGATTTGGGGATGCTGATGGATGGAAGAGGGGGCTGGTACTGTAGCTTTCTAGGCTTAGTTGGCATCTAGTTTGGCCATTTCCTGCACATATATCCCTATACTCTCGCTGTCGAAGAGCACGAAGTACACTGTCTTGATTGAAGAGGACATTGTTGACACAAAATAGCTCGAGATGGCTTTCAGGATCAGCTGAGCAGCTGTTTGCTTTGGGAAGCCATTTCTAGAAGGATAGAGAAAAAAAAGGAAGAAAATCAAGACTTGCTGAACCAACTTTTGATGGTTTAACCTCCTAGGGAAGGTTCCGGCTTTTCTCTGACACTTCACGGTAAATAAAGCTGCAAAGCCAGTGTCTACAGTCTGAATTAGAAGCTACAAACTTGTAGATTTAGGCAAGAGTTAAAATGCTGAAACAGAAGAAAAGCATTCCCAAAATATGAATACAGAGTCTACACACTCTGATAGGTTGAATCTCATGATACCTGATGAGTCAATTATTCTCATTTAACAGGTAAGTTAAGAGCCTGCTGTTTTCTGGAAAGCAGCGTATGTGTTGGAGCTGCAAAATTAAACCTGTCCTGAAAGCAAAGCAACCGTCAAAGAAAAGTAAAAATGAACAGAGAACTTGATATGAATATGAAACATGAAAAGACTCAAAGTACAATACGATCTTACCACAACTAATGGTAACTAAGCGCAGGATTTTACAGGACCTAACCTGACAATCTTTACAGACTTCTTCACATTTTAATCTAGGAATCCTCGTCTGAAAGATTAATCTAATCTTAAAACAAGTCAAGCCCTAGTAGAATGGTCTGAATAAAGCTATGACCTGAACTTTATGACCTGAATTTTATAGATCACAGGAAACTCCTGGAATTACATCTGGTAACTGCTTGGAACGTGGCCTGAACTTTGTTGCTGTGTTACTCCTGAAGTACCGCTACTCAGAACGTGGTTTTACCCTGCCCAGTTCTGAGCCCTCCCCCAGCCTCAGTGACGTGTACTCTGTAGCTAGTCTGAAGGTGATGGGACATGTCCACTCTCTTAGGAGTAACACCAAAAAAGAACCTGAAAAAGAGCCTGTTGAACATCACCTGGTTCCTTGACATGCACTTACAGGTACCTGGCAGTTAATGCTCCCCATTATAAAGACTGTACTATTAATACTACAAATACACAGCTTACACAGATGGACGAGTTTCTCAGCATTTCCTGAACAGTTCAAAGAAGCTGGGCTAAATCCACCTCTGGATCTAACTCGTGAGCATATCTCAGCACTTTCTCACTGTAGCACCACACTGGTAGTAAAATGCTGTTGTAATGTCCCTCTTATTCTGTGCTGCAACACACCAAATGTGAAGGGCAACTGCCTGTGTCATGGCCCACTTGCTGCATATTGACTTATCAAAAAACATTCCTAGAGAGGAATTCTGTGTCAGTTCTGCCTGTAATGTGATATTATACATGCTGTCTTGAAGATAATGTTTGTGGTATTTCAAAAATGATGGCATGAAATAGCTTACACTTTTTTTCTTTTCTGAAAATGCCTGATTTTTTCTTCTGTTGAAGAAAAAAAAAAAGGAAAAAGCATTGTGCACAAAGCTTGTACTATTCTAAATCCAAATGAGCTGGTCAGGGGCAATCAGCTTGTGAGATGTTAATCAGCTGACAGCAGTTTTGACACAGGAGATGCTCAGGAGTCTGCAGCCTCCACACCTGAGCACTTGCAGGTTAACTTATGAATGCTGCATCCTGGCATACAGTGAAGAAATATTCCAGGAATTTTGCTCCTGAACTGTCATGCAGGGCAGCATCAAAATGCAGACATACACTGTTTCTGAAGTGCTCTGAGAGGCCTCTGAAGTCACACAACTTCCAAGTGCTCTAGCAGGGTGGTCACACCAGGGCACATGAAAGAAGAGCAGCCTGGTGAAAGGAAGGCACAGTGCCAGGCAAGCTGGTAACAATCCATTGCTCAGGACACCTCTCCCGAAAGAAACAAAAGAGAGCAGAAAAATCAGGAGAAAGGTGCTGGCCTGCTGGCCATGTATGGGCTGCAAGAAAAATAAGTCTTATGCATTGATCTATAGGTCTGAGTTAAATTCTTGTGAAAAGGCAATTTGGGACTTTAACCAAAGCAGTGTCAAAGATCAGATCAAAGAGCCTTAGAATGAAATCCCTTCTCAGAGGATGATTTCATGTTCAATCACTAACTCTCCCTTTTCTCCTGCTGTCCCTACCAGACTGAACTCCAGGCTACCTCTGAACAGCACCCAAGTTGTGCTTTCCATAAGTTGGCTGTAGCTGAGCATCTGGCCCAATGAATGCTACAAGTATGCTATTTTAATTCCCCTCGTGATTTATTTGAACTGCCCTCATGTAATCCCATTCCTCAACTATAAAAGAGAATGAAACTGTTTATGTGGGTTTATTGGGTGATGTCTGCTTGACAGATGCCTGTACTAGAACAGCTGCACACATGTGGTGTCTTTGGCATTTGCTATCTTTTAAAGCTTTACTTGTTTCTTTTTTTTAATGCTTTTGACTTCATAAAAACAAGTAGAGAGTATTGTCAGAATATATTATGCTCTCTCCAAAATTAACTTATGCTTGAGTATCTCTAATTAAGGAAAAAAAAGGAAAAATACATAACCTCATATATTACCCAAGGCCTTTTGATTCCTCTCCATCTTTTAAAAGCACCACTTCAGCTGATTCAAGTAACAATGATATGTATATGCCGAGTGGAGAACTTGCCCTAAATCCTGCCTGTCAGTAACCAGGTTTCAGAACACAATGTGATTCCTAAGGATTGTTCAAGGCTTCATCATCTTCCAGTACCAATCACCTATTTCACAATAAGGGCTGGGATTGGTTCTTTGCTGGGAGCTATCCAGAAAAGACAGGGCTGTGTGAAAGATGTGGTCCCACTTTTACATAACCAATTCCACAGTCACTCTGCACTCTCCGTATTATTCCGTGGAAGAACAGAGTTTCTCTCAGAGAGTGATTCAGAGAGTCTCTTTGTACTGACCAGCCTGTGACCCTGACCGCTAATCCAAAAGGTTACTATGAACTCTCTGTTCTATTTCTCTATTGTTATGCAAAGTTTTCTCAAATTATCTCCTTAAAATGACACCTATGCAAATTAACCTCAGCTGGAGATTTGTATGATGCAAGTTGCTTAAATTTAACATCCTAATGAAACTTTTATTTCTTGTCATTCACCCAAAACTTTAAATACTGTTTTCTCCCCAGGTCGCAGAATATGCAAGAATTAATCTAGTGTTGCAACACAGCACAATGGGAAGAATATTCTGGTTGTACACCGGCCAACTTCTTTCATGGCAAACTCAAGAGGGTCCAGTTGTTCAGGGTTAAGAGACACAACTGTGTAATTCAGCCCAGATTTGGCCCTTGGTTTTCCTACTGAGCCATCAATGAAGGCCAGGTATTCCCAGCCTCCCTCTGCACCCCAATCCAGAGCCTCAGACTAAAGGTGCAGTCAGTCTGGACTGAGACTCTTAAGAACATGATCCAACTTTCAAAGGCACTGAGCACACTGCATAGAGCCAAAGGACCTGAACTTTAGACTGAGGCTTTGAAAGACCTTGGCAAGGGTTTTTAAGGTCTTTTTCTTTTTTTTTTTTTTTTAATTAAATAGTCCCATGATGTAAACTGCATGGAATTCAGCTTATGGATTTTGGATGAAAGCTTGAAGTGACTGTGCAAATCCTGAGAATCAAAGCACTTTAGGTTTGCTACTTAAACAAACACTAAGCCATGTGTTCTGGCCATCGTAAGACAGGTAAGTTTCATCACGCACTAAAATCAGGCAAAAGAGACTCCTTTTCTTAATTTATTTTCCACATTTCCAATTTCTATGAATGAACTGATAGTCTGAAAGAATTCTTTTAATATTCTCTTGAAAGTTCATTTTATGCTCTTTATTCCATTTGCATGCTTTAAGATTTGCAGGGATCACTGAGATCTGCCAGCACTAAACTAATACTGCAGGAAAACACTGCAGGCTCCATGCACTACCTGAACAAAACTAGAAGAAACTCTTCTTTTAAGGAACTTATTAAACAAGGAATTAAAAAAGCCAGCATTGTAGCAATGTGTTTTGTACATGGGAAGGGACTGGAATTTCAGATGGCACTTAGAGAATGTGACCTATTTGGTATCATGTTTGCCTGACAGCCTTACCTGCCGCTGCCAATGGAAGGAAACGCGATTGATTTCAGCTTCTTTTCATCAGCCAGAGCCAAGCAGTTCTTCACTGTCTTTTCCAGCAGCTCCTCGCATTTGTCTGAGCCCCAACCTGGGCTATTACAGTGGATCACGAATTTTGCAGGCAATCCGTGGCCAGCACTGACAACAGCTAGGAAGAATTGAAAATGAAACATAATTACTTTCCTCTCTTTAGGATTAAAGGAGTGTACATGTGATTAAAATAGCACACAATCAACAGACATTCCTTTAGCCCCTGAGAATGTTTTAGATTACAAATCACAGCCTTAAAATATAACATGATTACAGAGACTTTGTGTTTTCCATTTCCAGCTGCATTTTGCTGTGGTAATTTATAAATCATAGCTAGGATCGAGCTTATTTAAGAGAGAGTAAGAATTCATGGATGACATCAAAGGAAGCACATTTATACTGAAGACTGGGCAAGGAGAAGGGCAGTATCTGTTAGAACCCAAACCCAGACAAGGGATGATCTTGCTTTGGCTGGGTTTACTGCAGAGATACAATAAATACCAGGATGCTGGACAGGCACAAGGAATTACGACTCCAGTGACCTTCAGCTTCTCCTGCTAAATGTACAGTGTGTTCAGCTGGTTTCTGATCATACCCCAGCCCAAACTGGAGCAGTTCAGAGCCGCTAGTGCTCTGCAAACCTCAAAAGAAGGATGGAAAAGAGGTAAATTAAGACTCTGGCTTTCTTTCCAGCTTTGTCTCCGAGTAACTATAATGAAGACATTTCGTGTGATTTCAAGACTTTGGGCTTGGTCTTATTTTAGCTTTTCTGTGTATGGGTCATGCAAGATCATTTGAACAATGCTGGGCTTAGTTTCTCTCTTTCATCACCTTCTTGACAGAGGGGTGGAGAGGATGCATTTACAGATTTGCAGTGCTTGATTCACTCTGTTTGTGTAATAACAGGCCAGGCCTTGTATGTACAAAGAAATGAAGAAGAATTTTTACCATGCTAATCGTATCTTATCACCACAATATTACTATGGATATGTGAGGACTAAGAAGATGCAGCAGACCCTGCTTACAAACTGCTGACAGGCAGGGATTCTCCAGATGAGAGGCCTCCTTTTCTGCAGGAGAACACATTCCAGGTTCACCACTTCTCATCACAGAGCAACAACAGACTGTGCTCTGCCTGCCAGAAACCAGGGTAAGAGGATCTGTCATTTCCAACTCACTGGGCTGTGATTGCAAATAAAAAGTTTTAACTTCAGTTTGTTAAAAAAAAAAAAAAAAAAGTCGGGGGAAGCAAATCACCCTAATCACAAACTGAGGGAAGAAAAACATCTACCTGAAATCTCACAAGAGTATACAAGTCAGCCTCTAAAATACCCCACAGAAGTGTAGGTATAAAATGGCAGCTTATGTCTTCACAAAACCATAATAAAAATACTAGTAATTTTTTTAAAAAATTAAAAAAATCAGTTTTGCAAAGGTGCTAAGAGGTCTGAAATCCTCTATTCCATCCTGGAATGTTCATGAGGCATTTTGCTATTTAAGTATAGTAAAAGTAACTCTTTGCACATGATCATCACATATGGATACTATCTCATGGCTGCTGCAGGAAAGAGAAAATAGACTTTGTCATATGGATCCTGACCAGGGGTTAACCAGAACATTTTGCAGGACAATGGAAGCACATGCATTTATGTTCTTATGAGTTTGCAGAGTCCCAACATGTTGAATAGCCTCAGTGTTAGGCAATGTTAATTTGTCATAATGTGCAACTAAAACATTGGCAGCTTCAGAATACATCATAAATCCAAGAAAAATCTATTAAAAGCAGTTAACATATCTCTAGTCAGATGTGAAATGTGGATATCATCCTCATCCTGAAAGAATAAAATACTGTGTCGATACACATGACCAACTTTAATATTTCTCAGGGAGTGTTTTCCAGGGTAGTCACTAATTAACTCATTAGGATTCTGATGAGGACAACTGTTCATTACCAAGAGCAGCTGTCCCTTACTTCAAATGCAAATGCACTGAAATGGGAAGTAAGAAAGAGAAAGCCAACTGTGGACTTACTCTGTGCTAGTCACATTTCAGCATTTAAGCATTCTGGTTATGGGTAGATTAAAGGGAAGCCCAGAGAACTGAGAAATCTGAAAACTGGGTATATGTAGGATTGAAAAATGGATGTATTAGTTCTGCTCTAGAGTGCTCCAACAAGTCCCCAACAGCCAGTTTATCGCAGTGCAGTGCAGAGCTGCCCTAGAGTAAAACTGCCAGGCAAATCCCAGATCTGAGGGATGCACTAACAGCTGAGAAAAATAAACTTTTCTTTTCAATTTGACACCTACTTGGAGCAGTTTGGTCTGGGCTGGTAAGAAATCTTGTACAGAAGTTAGTAAAAAGAAAGAAGTGAGTAATTGATTCTGCATATTTTCGCAGAGCAAAAATTACAAGAAAAACTTACTAAAATTTTTAAAAAGCGAGGGAGAAACCCCCAAAGTATTAAGCTCCAGAAGTAAACAGTTGTAATTTTTCCTGTCAGAGCTGAATTCTTACATCTCCCCTTTGGCTGTAGTTAGGATTCGTTTACAAAACTGTGCACACTATATTTATTTTTATAGCATAAACACAGATGGCAGAATCAGCCTTCTATATGAACAACATGGATCAGCAATTTCACAGATGGTCTAAAATAATATATTGCCATTATCAAACTTTATTACTCACATAGTAGATTTTTCTCTGATATTACATAAATTTTGATAACTAGGCATCAGAAAGTCGTAAGCTTTTATAGTGATGATTTTGGCACTGATTAAACTACGTACCCAAGCGGATGCTGAACTTTAAGCACATGCTTAAGTTCAGTGGAAGTCAGTGGCATTTCAGTAAAGCAGATGCTTAACAGAGTTGGACTCAAAAATAAGCACCTTATTAATTGCTTTTCTGAACTGTGTCCTTAATGATCAACACTGAGTGTGCATGCACGTACTTGTGAACAGCCTGGCTTTACTGTAACACTACAGCACTGCCCATTTCCAAGGCGCTTTGGTAAAGGTTACTTAATATGTAATGTGTGCAGTTTAACTGTGGAGAATAGAAACATACAGCCCTTGGGAGATGTCTGCAGACAGCAGAGCCCCAGTGCTGCTGCAGGAGGAGCTGGGCTGTGTGAGCCAAGCCCCAAGGCCCACAGAGCTCTGGGTTAGGGTCCCGAAGCGCAGCCTCACCTCCGGCTATGTCCAACGGCCCGTTCTTTTTGCGGAGCTCAATGACGGCTTCCACAAACTCCTTGCCGCCTTTCTTTTCCAAAGTGCTCCCTGAACAGAGAATTGTTAGTTTACTCCTCTGACCTCAGCAGACATGTGACTCATCATTCACTTTTGTTACATCACTCTAGAGTTTTCTGCCCAAACATTTTTTGGGGACTGCAAAGTAAGATCTAAACCTTTTGGGACTTGAGAATTAGCTAGTCATTAAAAACAACAACAACAACAACAGAAAGAACAAGAAGACAACCCTAACAACCCAAAAACCTCACACTGGTATCCCTTGCTAACATTCTCAGACTTGAATTTACTGTCAAAAAACATCTGACATGACTTCCCTACCTCCTTCCTTCTCACGAGCATCTCTTAGTGTAAAATGTTCCAGAAGAATGTGCTAGCTCAACAGTGGTTGAAGGTTCATAATTCCTTCCCCTAGGATTCATTTCCCCTCTTCTCTTACAAATTGTTTTAAAGAGCCATTTGCCACAATAAGAATTTGAAACTCACCTGATCTTGGTCCCTGACCCCAACAGGTGGCCCCAGGAATGAAACAGTCTCGTGAGTGCAGCGGGCTGCTTTACTTGGTAACTGCCCAGCTTGTTGAGCCACCTTTAACCAAGAGGAAGAGCCTCAGAAATAAGGAGAATCTCTAAGGAACACATTCCTCCAATGAACTTCTCTAACTACAACTAAGGAGCTGGACAAAGTAATTCTGGGAGGAGAAGAGCTGTACAGTGTGTCAGGGCAACCAAAAGGTATGCTGTTAACAAAGGCAGTCCGTCACTAAATGGTTTAGATCTTATTTTGCAGCTCTAGTTTTAAATATTAATGGAAGAAAAAACAGCCCAAGAAAGCATATTCCTAACTACATAGGCATCCCATGTAATTTTGCACTGTGCATATTAATTATAAAGGTAGATAAGTAAAAAGCAGTGATATCATAAAGGCTCTGATTTGAGATATTGCTTTGAAAACTGATTTCCAAAAATTCAGAACTAGGATCTCTAAAGATCTAGACATTTATTTGGTGACACCCCTTACTTCCACTGATAAAGAAAGAAAAAAATGCAATTTCTGATGGAAGTGCACATACTATATGCTCCAGGAAGCAGAGTCCCTACTCCAAGATTCAAGTTACTAAATCAGATTATAGCTCTAGGAACTAAGAAGACTGCTTTTGTTTTGTTTTGCTAAATTTCTTACAAACAGAAAAGTTAAAAACAATGCATTTGTTTTCCATTCAAAAACTGAATCTGTGACCCTGAGTCTATTTTGTTAGTGGGAATTATATTGCTTTTGGGGTACAAAAGCTGAGGACAATCACAAAAGCTATGCCTTTTCTTCGGCTTTTTTCATACCCAGTTCATAACAGGGTTTGCCAAAAACTGGATTGCAAGGTCAGACTGTGTAGGTCAGAGAGTAATCTGCTCTTTGTGCTCATTTAAACTTTTAACTATAAATATTTCAGCCAAACTCCTAAGAATTTTCTGAAACTTGAAGTTCCTTATCCTAGTGCAACTGAGTGGGAGCATCACTTTACAAATCTCTCAGAAAAGACAGCAATGACTTTATTTGTGGCAGCAAGGGAAAGGAGATCCAGAGCAGCACTGAGATGCTTCGAAGCACTCTGCCCTTCAAAGGCAGTGAATAAAGCACAACACCATGTGCCCTTTGCTGAGCCCATCCAGCAGATGTGTCTTGACTCCAGGGTCTTACAAAATCACTCTGACTATGAAAGGATGGGGAGGGAATGAAACAGTCTTCCATTCTAAAATTCTAGTTATATTCTTGTTGTATATATTTCCATATCATTCCTATTTATATTTATATATATGCCAGTTATATTCCCCATGAGTCCATGAACTCTGATCAGTCCTAAAACCCATGACATTCATAATCCTTAATTTCTCTTGTTTCAAGGGGAAACATAATTAAGCCTTGTGCAGAACCTAGGAACAGCAAAGTTCTATTAAGTAGGTCATTTCTTTGCCATTGCAAAGCTGTTGTACATTTAATGGAATTTAGCCTAGTTTGGTTTAATTCAATCCAGAAGGACCAGCTTTTTCCCTTCTACTGGGAATTAATTTATAATTAAAAGCAGTGAACAACCACATCAGTTTATTCCACTGAGCTCTCTTCTTGCAGACCTGGTACAAAGAAGAGAAAAAGTAATATTTGGTATGAATGAGTGAAATATTCTCCATATTCTCTCATTTACTCTGATTAATAGCAAGGGTTTATATTAAAATCATACTTGACATCTATGTTGTAAATTAGCTTAATCTGGCAAAGGACAGACTGTATTTAACCATCTTCCACTACACTAGCAAGTTTCTTTATGGAAGTCTTGCTTCACAGCTTCAAGGTTAGTAGTTTATTTGCTCACAGGCATAAATATGTGTCACTCCCATGAGAATAAGATCATTATCTCATGCTTTCCAAGCAGGCATTGGTATCAGTGTTGAAAACAGTGTTAGCAGAAATTTAGGCTCTAAAATTCTCAGGATAAGCCCCCAGTACATTTAACTTGTTAGGGAAAAAAACAACGAAAAAATAAAAAAAATTTAGATGGGTAAAAGTTAATCATTGGAAGCCAAGCATTCGTGCACTTCTATTCTTTCTTACAGCAGTCAGAGGCAACAGGAACCTACACTAAATAATGAGCAGTCCAGCTTCAAGAGACAATTTTCTTTGCAGGGTAGCAAAACATTTCTTTGTCACAGGGTAGGAGACAGGCACATTGGCTAAATGGGTCTGACAGACTTTGGAAGCATATTCTTCAGGTACAGGCTACTATGACACTCTGCATATTATTTAGCCAGCAAAGTCACAGTACTTCTGCCCCAACAGGCCGACCAGAGCTACATTTCTCTGCTTGTTACTCAGAAAGCAGCCCTTTCAGAAAAAGCAGGTGGTGCAGGACATGTGTCCCTGCAAGCCAGTACTGAAAATAAGGCCTCAGGCATGGGGGGAGCCCATTCTCACAGTGATGGTGAGGTTGAGATGTAGAACAGAGGCTGGGATTAGCTGACTTGTTCTTAAGCATTGCCAGCAACTTCTGCATTTGGCCCAAATTCTGTTTTGCCTTCTCAAATTACCAAGGCAGTTCAATTAAAACACTCCTACCCTTTTAGAAAATTCTGTATGTGAGAGGAGTAAGAGAAGGACTAGGAGAAGAGCTACTCAGGGGACAGTTAAGATGGCTGAATTAAGAGGTCTGTCCTGTTTCCTGTCATGCCTTGTCTCATCTGTGTAGATCAGGTGATCGATGTGTGTGCAGCACTAGCCTGGGCTTGTGGGCTTGAGAACTGTGGAGCAGGGCTAGGAAGGTGACCGGTCTGTAAGGATAATCTTAAGAGTTTGGAAAATACAGACAGGTTAGATCCAGCCCGTGAATCCAGATGTGAACATCTGAAACTTGGCATGGAGAGGGTGCACTGGAACTGGTTAGAAATCTAAAGATCAAGACTCAAACCACATTCAAACCGGCACTTAACATGTCAAACCAACAATGTCATAATTCATTTTCCTTGGTCATATGCCTGCATTTAATGCACTGTTCCTGCACTTCAATTTTGGTGGTGCACTCCATTGTTACTTCTGAAAGGCCCGATTTAGCAATAAAAACCAAAAAACGCTCACTAGGTTTGTAATTGTTCATTTCTTGTTATGATCAGTCGGGACTGCTGGAAGTGAGAAATGAATGCAAATCTGCATAGCTACAACAAGCTGGTGGCTGCTGATCGACCATGCACACACATACGAACTCCGCAGCACTGAACTTGCCATTACCTACTTCACCACCGGTGTAGAAGTCAGAGTTTGTCGGGTGAACGACAGCATCACTGTCGATCGTGGCAATGTCAGCCTGTACAACTTGCAACTACAACAGGTAAACAGATGTATATCAACCACGTTGGACAGAGACCCAGCACAGGCTCTACATTTACACATGTACCAACGTCCATATTTTCCTACCTTTACACCTCCAAACCTTGCGCCAAAGGAGTTTGCTGAGTTGTGTGTGCAGGTGTGTGTAGAGAAAGGGGTGTAGGAAGCAGGAGGAGGAATATTGAGTATGACATGATCAAATAAATGTTAAAATGACAAGTCAGAGCAATTACATGAGATCATTTCCAAAGTTTTAAAATCAGCTAATGCCCCATTTCACTTTGCAGAAACCTAGAACAACCAGTTCCCCAAAGAGCATGACATTAAAATATGGAATCTGTTTAAAAAAGAGAAATTCAGGATCATCGAGCCAAACAAAATAATTAGTTTCTCCATTTTGTCAGCACTAATAAGTTGGCAGGCACTGATTTTCATATGTAAAACCATTAATCATTTTATTTCCAAAAATGCCAGTTTTCTTCACATGTAGGAAAATATGTATTTACAGCCAGAGTTGTACAGAATTTGCTTTAACGAATACAAATAATTGTTTGTATAGTTTAAAAGTAAGGCATATCTTTTAATTATGCGCTAGAATGGCTAAGACACTTGCAGAAATATATGTATTTCTAAGAAAGGTTGAAACAAAAATTAAGTCTTCTTAGACCTTTTCTCTTGTTAAGTTACTTTTCTACATTCTCATAGGAAATGCACCAGTATTAAAATTATGGGTTGTACTCCATTAAGGAAGTTTCAAAAAAAGACAGCAGCAGGTCTACTCAAATAAGAAGGGAATACAGTACATACTGCATGAAAGGCAATTTTTGTTTTGCTGAAGAATAAACTTCTGTTAAAGAAGGATTTTTTAAAATTTCTTATCAATGTGAAACAAGAGAAAAGCTTTAAAAGTGATTCTCCACCCATGATAGTTCACTCTTGGTATAATATCAGTATTTGTTTCCAGCTGAATGTAAAAGTGATAGGGAAGAATTGAAACAGAATGGAAACAAATTATTGACTGAATTAAATATCAAATCAAGGTATGGAAGATTTTGGGATAGCTAATTATGTAATAAGCCCTTTACAAAATTTTTAAGCCTACTCTAAGTATTGAAATAAAACCCCTGAGATTGTAGGTAGAATGGAGAAACTGCTTATTTTGAGAAAAACCTGACAATAAAATATTTTAGTCCTCAAAGTATCCAAATAAGAAACCCCCCAAAATAGCTAACAGTCACATATGATCATTATGGAAAAGAATTTAAAATTTTTGAACTGAAATCAGCTTAAAGATTAGCAATAACTGCAAGTATTCAGAATTGGTCAAAAAGTATTTTGAATATAGTTCTTCAACAAAGCAAGACCTGCGAGATTTGAATTTCTGCTCTGATTAAAGGTAAGAAGCCCTAGAGTTTAAATTCTGGGTTCCATAATTTCCATGTGACTGTTAGTTGTGTCAACCCATGGCCCCATTTACCTAGGTCATCTTTAAGGTCAATGTCAGCATTGGTAGGATTGATAATGGCCTCCACCTCGAAGCCGGCTAAATTACTGATTTCACTGTGAATAAGGTTCAGCTGAAAAGAAAAGCATGAGGTGGGAAATAACAGGACAGCTGGGAAATCACAGAGAAGCTGCAGAAAAGTGAGCTTTGCAACACAGATGGAGATAGCATCACTGCAAACAAATACGCAAAATAAAAGGCAGGTCATAAAGGGTTATTAGCCCAAAAAATTTCAAACACAAGACTCAAACATTGGTTTTATGCTGATCGCTATTTGGGACTCTTATTATTATCCAGTATCTAAAAGGGGCTTACAAGAAGTCTGGATAGGGACTTTTCATGAGGGCATGGAGTCACAGGACATGGGGAAATGGTCTTAAACTGAAGGAGGGGAGGTTAAGATTAGATATTAGGAAGAAATTCTTCCCTGTGAGAATGGTGAGGCCCTGGCACAGGCTGCCCAGAGAAGCTGCAGCTGCCCCATCCCTAGAAGTGTTCAAGGCCAGGTTGGATGGGGCTTGGAACAACCTGGGATAGTGGAAGGTGTCCCTGCCCATAGCAGTGGATTGAGAAGAGCTTTAAGGTCCCATGCAAACTATTTGGTGATTCTAATTTTGCCATTAAAGGAGGGTATTTGTTTCTTTCCCAAGTATTCATGAAGGACACCCTAAGCATCCCTTAAGCATCAATTACAGTGATGAGGTGGGGCCATTCTGCACTGAAACTGGATCAAAGCTGCTACTCCTCCTTCTTTAAGCCAGGAAACATGAGCCTATCTCTAAGAAAGCAGACACTTGTCTCCAGCAATTCCTCCATCTCAACAAGTGGATGTGTTTTCTTTTCTTTCCTTATCAGTGGTCACCATATTCTGTATTACAGCACTTCAGTTCGCATTACAGTTCTGCAGCCTTTGGGAATGTCTGGTGAGATATCGTAAGCAGGCACATGATATTATTGCTTATTGCTCCTAGTTTTTATTTTGTTTGCTTTACTTCTTTTTGTCCCCTATGAAAGCAGAGATTTTTAACCCCATCCATTAATCCCCATTTACTCCTCTATGTACCCCCATATTCAAGCATGTCTTTCAATTTCTTTCTTGTTATAAATCAGGATGATTTCTCCTAGGCACACGGGAAACTGCAGAAAGCAGCACAGAGGTCTAGAGATCGACCTTACATCTGCACTATGTGTTCTTAAAAGATAGTTTGGGTGTCTCCTGACAAGGATGTGACCCACACCACAGAATCAACTCTACAATTTGAGGCAACCTAATGGGAATGTTAAACTTGGCAAAGGTCAAAACTGCAGGTATGGGACGTTTCTAACCAGGGTTTGAGCACTGTGACACTGCTTTGTAGCTTCTGTTGGAAGTCTGATTTCACAGGCACCAAGTTTACTACTGACAAAACTTTAAATACTTTACGAGTGCAAAAGATTTTCCAGACTTTTTCATTTGGGGAAATACATTAGCTACAGCATGACCTTCACCTGTCTTTACAATATGTATTTTAAATTATTTTTTCAATAGCTGTTTGGGTGATACAGAAAGCAGCCATGAAGGAGAAAGCTCTCATTCATTTATGCAATTCCTGCAACCAGCTGCAGTTAAGCCAGGCTTTGCTTTTAATCCAAAGCCCTCAGCCTACAAAGCGTAACATAAATCTTCAGGTGTGGCACTTTATACCATCAATATTAGAATTTTATCTCTTGTTTGTTGTAGCCCATGTACTTAAACTTAACTCTTCAAATAACTTCTTTATGTATGTTAATTTATTAACAGAGAATATAAACCAATCCATGAAACCGATACAAGTGAATGGGACATTTAAGGAGGCCAATATCCCTATATTTAAATTTTATGAAAAAAATATTTCCATTTCATTCGATTCTATGAATTGGCCTTCTTTCTCTTTTTAAAAGCCTGCAATTTCATATAATTTGCATATGTTGCTTGAGTAAACTATGTTACCTCAAACTAGGGTGATTTTGACAAAAAATGAGTACAATTCAGCCCTGTTTTAAGTACGTGTCTGTTTGGGAATTTGTAATAAAATCTAAGAAAGCTTCCTTTCTAAATAGCTTGGAATCCTTTAATACTTCACACGTGGTGAGTTATTCATACTGAAGTTTGAGTCTTGAGTTTGACTACAAGTAACTGCTGTTTAAAAAAAAGTCAAATCAAATCAAAATGTTAAAAAAACTTCGTGAATTTTAAAATTAAAAAAAACCAAAACAGCAAAACACATGCACACACCAAGACTGTTTTGTGGAGATTATAGAATGTTCATAAAAATATTTTGCTCATTCTGTAAGTGATCTTTTTGATTCCTAATTCTAGGCACTACAAGTTTTTGCCCCAGATCTATCAGCTGCAGACTGGTTTTGTTTTGAACCTTAAATCTATCCCTGAACCTACTCATATATGGAATTTATATAACAGCCAGCTGGTAATTAAAGTTTCAATTTAATAACAACAAAAAATGCTTCAAAAGCTGCCCATGACTGATAGCATGTGTTGGCAGCTAAGTATTATTTTACTAAATTCTGCATTTACTGCTCAATGCACTGTTAGCTATCCAATTGCCAAAAACAAATAAAAAATTAATCAGAATTTTTCCTGTAGAATTAAATCCTCCAATGTGTAATTGCTCAATTTTACTACCCAATAGTATGAAGCATGTATTAGGCAGAAGTGATCTTCTAAAGGGCCACTTTAAAAAAAATAAATAGAGACAAATTGCACATACATCTGCAACAAAGAATGGACATAACTTGAGGTAACATTTCAATTAAGCGTTAGTTAGATAAAATGCAGATGGCACTTAGCACATCCATGAGTATTTTCTAAGCCAAGCCTGGCATTTCTAATTTCAGACAAAATTATCTTAAAAGCCTTGAAGCTTTTTCTGGTATGAGTTTCATATTGAAAACTGAAGATGCCTATAGCTGACCACAAGTTGAGGTCTCTTGGAAAGTCCAAACCTTAAAGCTTAGGTTTGAGATCCTGCAATTCTGCCTCTACTTTGTAATCCTCACAGGAAAAACAAACTAGTTAATGCGCACAATGCCACATTTCCACTGGGATGCCACTTGTGGATGTGCAATCATTTACATATTAAACTAGATTTTAGTAATTAATGTGGCACTAATAACTTCTACAGGTATGACTGAAGGGTTCTTTGCCATTTCATCACCTCTAAGAAGTTCCAGCTGAATGTCAGCCGTTACCTATAGATTTAATGAAATATCTGTAATTTTAAAAACCAAACAATATCCAGGTTTGCAACATTCTCATTTGTGTTTTTTGCATCAAATTAAATCTGGGGTTATTAGAAGGATGAAGAGCTGCTCTTGCAAATAAGTTTCTTCCCCTCCCTTCTGTAAACAGGGAGCCAAGAAAAAGATTTTTCCCATTAAACACTTATGAATGATGTGATACCAAAATGAAGCTTCCTTCTCTGCATTTAGCAAAGGATTTTCTGATCTGGAAGATAATGGTTTTGCAAACCAAACAGACATGCTGGAAAGGTGCTCCAGAATGTCACAGGAGGTTTGAAAGATCGTGATTGATTGATCTCAAGAGCAATTCTTCAAATGCCTTCTCTAACCCTCAGAACATGACCTGTTTGATTTGGAGTGTTCCCTCATAGGAGACAAACAGGTTTTCATATTTCTTTTCTCTTTTCATTATGTGTTACACCAAAAGGCTAACACCTGGTCCCTCCCATGTGCAGGGCTAACTGACAAGGACCCAGTGCAGGGATGGATGTGTCACAGCAGTAATTTTCTCAGGGGGCTGGACTCCAAATGAATGAGAAAGCCAGAAAATCCATTCCCCAGTACTAGGACTCACTGGGAAGCTCTACAACAGACACTGGCTTTGCCCACCAAAGCTTAAAGCAGTCCTGGAGTTCATTATTTTCTTCCAGTGAGCCCAACAGCAAAGCCCCACTGATTTGCTGGGTCAGTCTTGCTGGAACACAACATTAGGTCTTATTACTGGTTTCCTATGGTAACTAAAATAAGCTCAAAATCAGCTCCAGAAGTCTGATGTTACTTGCTTTCTTGAAACAGTAATGCAGACTATAAATTTTAGGTTCTAATTTAGTTATCAAAATGTTTTTCAAAAATCACCTCCTCTAAAGGAGTAAAATTAAAAGAAAAACAAACCGCTACCATACCAAGCCAACCATCTAGCTGTAGCTGTAAAATTAAATGTGGAAAATCAGAAGTCTTGAAAAAAAATGTTACTCTCATGCAAGTTAAACTTGGCAAACAAACTGGAGGATAAATGGAGAACAACCTCAGTATGAAATAAAAATGAGTCAGAAGAGTTACATTCCACAATGGACAATGGCTCGTCTTTTATGGCTTACAACACAATGATCTGATTATTGAATGACAGCAGAAAGATGCAGTTTTACTTAAGAAAATTTTGCATCACAAATTAAAGGCAGGTTTCAGGGTAAAAGACCAAATTAATTTAATGACTTGTCTCTTTAAATGGATCCTCTTTAAGCAGATATGTATTTATATTAAACCAACCTATATCCCAAATCACATTAACAGGAAAAAAAGAATTGTTGATCTCTAGCTTTTCATAAAATCATAATTCATTATTACACAGCATTAACTTCTGTAAATCACAAAGCAAAACACAGCATAAAACCATTATTATGAACAAATGTCTAAAATAGGTTTTGATAAAAACCTGTAAATCATTTACATCAGCAATGAAGTGGGCTGACTGTTGGAAAAAATACATTTTATGCTTAGAATAATCTCTTTGGCAGATGCTTATCTGTAACAATTATGTTGTTTATGAATGAGAGATTACAAGCACGCAGGCTTTCCTTCTAATTAAGTATTTAATTATGTAGTCACATGAAGACTTATTTATGTACTTTTTAAAATGCTCTAAAAGTTGTTTCAGAGAATTTCTTTGAAATTAAAAAAACTGGTATTATACATCTCCTTGATTGCTCAGTGGGGAAATATGCATTGTACCTAGATGTTTTGTGGAAAAGGGGGCAGTAGGAGGGGGCTATTCCCCAAACAGCACAGAAAAGTATTAATTTATAAAAACGCAAGATCTTACCTTCTGGCCAAGAAACAGGCTTTTGGTGGACAGGACTGTGAAACCATCTGCAGGAGTTCCCTCTGTTGTACTGTCAGCACTGGCTGATTTGCTCACTTCTCCCTGCTTCTTCTTCCAGAAATATAGTTAATTAGTTAACTCAAGGCTATGAGAAAAACAGTTTAATGACACTAAGATATATGACATGCACTAAATGCTTAGCAGGCAGTAAAATGCCTGTACAAACAGTGGTGTTGGATTTTATCCTGTAGTCCAAGTAAAGTGCCTGATAACAGCTGAAGGGATCAATAGGAAAAATGACCTCAACGTCTGCAGATCTACAGGCGCCTCCTCTTGCCCACAACAGTGCACAGTTGAGATGGCAGCTGTCTTAAATGTTACAGGAAAACATATAAACAGCCCCAAACTTTTAGCAGCTTTCTAACGGCTTGTGTGGACAAAGATTACAGATCTCTGTGTGTGGGCAGACATTAATTCTAAGCTAGAAACTGACTTGTCAGAGAATAAATTTTATTTGTGAAGGGAGGTGCTCCCAGATTTCAGGGACTTATTTCTAGAAATTTTCCTTTGTAATATGGCTGTCCTTAGAAACAGTGTGAAAAGAATACATCTACTTTCTATCTGCCTGCTTGCAGGAAATGGGCTGAACAATTTTCTGTCTTATTTAACATCAACTTCTTTCACCTCCAGTGAAACTGCTGGAAGAGAGATAAGGAGCTCCCCTCAACCACCATTTCTTTTTTCAACTTTCTTACTGCAATGAAATAAAAGGTGTCAGGAATTAAATGATTTACAAAAAGAAGAATTAGGAACATTTTGAAAAGGAAGTCAATTCACGAAGGCTGTGCCCATAAAATCAATTGGTGCCAAGAATAATTTAACATCTTCAATAAAATTATTACTTACAATTTCAAATAAATATTTGGTGCCTCAGCAATGTCTGTGTTGAAGCAAAAAAAGGACGCCTGGAATACTGAGCAAGCCACTGTTTCCCTATTGTCCCCTTCCAAAGTATATAAACTAAGTCTGAGGCTGAACAACTAAAATGACTTTGATGCAAGGGTACATTGTGCTCTTAGAAGCTGTAACCATGCTTTACTTTACACAAGTGTTTTGAAAATCAGATTTTCATGGGTCTTATTTGAATTCCCCTGGAGTTTACTGTTAGCCAAATAGCAATATAGTAAGCACACAGTACAGTTTATTGTGTAGAAGAAAAACAGAACCCCACAACAGACTTCCTGCTTTTGTAATCAAGCAGGGTAAAAAAATTCCAGATTTAGGGGAATTATTAGTCATGGTTATTGGAAGCACTGCATTTGAAATGTCAACTAATAGGTGCTCTGAAGGAGAAAAATAAATTCAACAGCTCAAAAAACCAAAAGAGTGAAACAATCAGAAGAGTGACTAAGTAAACAGTAACAGGATAAATAAAGAAGCTTTGCTTGACCCAGAGGCAACTTTCACATTCGTTGTCCATTTCATGTGGAATTCCTGTACTTTTCTTCCTATTTGCCTAACTTATTGCTTAACTGTGGTTGTTTTGCAAAAAGAAAAAACATCCTTGGCACATTACAGCCATGTACACATTAGAAAGATTCCCTACTCCTACAAACTGAAACCTGTAAGGCATGATATGACAGAGGCTTTCCTCTTTTGTCTCCTGGTACACCCTCCGCCCACCTCAGAATGTTTCTTACAAAGAACAGAGTATTTATGGCCCATCTGCCTGTGTGGCAGACCTGGGCCACTCCTGAGGGAGGCTCAGGAGTGAGTCCAGGCTCCAGCTGCACCAGGGAGAGGACAGAGCTCCTCCTCTCCTGCTCACACTGTGACTGAAATCACTATTGGTAGCAACATACGCAATAGAGAGCTGACCCAGTGTGAAGCTCCCTGCTGCTACTGCTGGCATGCTTGTTTGGGTTTAAAATAACCACATTACTCTACCTTGGATTTCCTTGCTCCTTTCTTGCCGCCTGTTTTCTTTGATACAGTTTTTTTCTGTGATGGAGACTTTGCCTTCTTTGCTGGGGGTGGAGTGATAATGGCTTCCAGTTTTCCTTTTGATCCCCGCTTCTTTGCCAACAGCTCAGGGTGAATATTGGGTAACACTCCACCACTGGCTATGGTGACCCCTTTCAATAGCTAATCAAAAATAAAATAAAAAGTTGTACATGACAAATTCCAGTATTTACTCACCAATAAATGGAAAATAGGATTTACTGCAAAATTTGTATACTGCCTTGAGTTTCTCCACCATTATCCTTGAAGAAGAGATGAGAAATGCATGAAATGGAGCTGACCACATACTAGATTTTACCTATCAAGGGAGCATGTGCCCTTCTTGCACACATGCTTGTCACTGTCAGCATCTCTAGGGTTCACCTGAGAACTGTTTCTCTGAATCCATGCCACGAAGGCTGTTACCCAATGAGGAAAAACAAGACAGCCCCAGGCACACATCTGAGGGCCCAGATGGGCAGCCATCTGAGACTACAACAGGTGTCACACTGTGAAGAACCCAAGTGCTGAATTTTCCTGAAATCGTGTTAATAAAATGATTTATTTTTTCTTAGAAAAATAAACTTCAAAATAGAGGGCAACATTTATACAAATCTCTATACCTATAAGTCTGTCTTCAAAAAAATATGCAGTTGAAGATCAATATTCAGAAGTGTGCAGTTCATTCAAGCCTTTAAAAGCAGAGGTGAAATATATAATGTTCTGTTTTTAAAACCACATTAACTCATTTTTATAACTGGGACTACTTCACTATTCAGGAAGATACAGACAGTAACATCAAAGTCTCCCAGGTACTCCCACCTTCTGATTTGTGTTTACTGCTCCCCAGTCTCAACTCAGTGAGGCTTCAAGCTTACAAAGAGAAAATGAATGGAAAGTATTACCAAATTTCAGCCAAAGCCAAAGAAGAAGGATGGTTGGGGGAATATTATTTTTTTTCCTCCTCCATCATGATACACAGATTTGGAAAGAGCATCTTTTCAGACAGGTTTTTACAGCACCTCACACAAAGATACATTAATCCCAGCCACTGTCTCTGGCTGACACCACATCACTGTAATAATAACGCCATTTTTTTGTGGCAAGGTTAAAGGCATCTTTACGTCTGCAAATGACACAGACTTGAAAGAATTCAGAGCTCTTCTGTGGTCACAATAACAGACTTCAGTGAGAACAGGGTAAGTCCCACTGAATCCTCAGCTGTCTAAGAGGGTAACTGAAAACAAACAAAAAAACCCAGCATCTGCAGGATTTTCTCTGTGTCCTTGAAGAATTTATGACAATACCCCAGTAAAACAGAAGTGGTTGTATTAGTGTTAGCAAGGATCATTTTATGTCTCCATTGCATTTTTACACATTTTAGGAGTGCTGAAATACCTAATTAAGCTGAGTGCTGTAGTTAGTTACAAGGCCAGCATGCTAGTGAGTGCTTCCTGGTGTGCTACTCAATAAGCAGAGGTCTCGAGTTACAAGTCAGCTATACGGAAAGACAATTTAAGAAGCCCTAGAGGAAATCCTGGTCTTCACACGGCAGAGGTTTTTCTTACCTGATTTAATTCTTCATCGTTTGCTACAGCCAACAGGATGTGTCTAGGAGTGACTCGACCCTTCTTGTTGTCCCTTGCTGCATTTCCAGCCAATTCCAGAATTTCCGCTGGAGAAAAGTAAGCTCCTTTTAATTACAATGTGATCATTAAGAAAAGTCAATGTGTCATTTAGCGTCCATGCAAAAAGTATGGGAATTACAGCATGTTAATCCTTACTGCAGTAGATATGCTCAACAGACATCTAACTCTAAAATAATAAATTTGTTTTTGTATGTCTAATCACAGAAGAACAAATGCACACTTAAGTCCTGTGCTTTAAACTAGAAATTTTTTTTATTCTTTTTGAAGCAGTTTTCCTAGATTCCTCACTTTTCAGTATTCTTCTCAAAACTACTGTGTGCTCATTTCTTAGGATCCCTCTCCTATCAGATGAGAGAGTACAGTAGATAGTACAAATTCTATAGTCTCTTTCTCAGACCTTTCTGGCTTGCATCACTTCTACTTTTTTATTCTTGGAAAAGACATTATTCTCAATTACTCATTTTTAGCATTAGGGAACCATGTAAGCACACATCCAAGTTAGGACACTAAAAATACAAATTCTGCTGCTACACTAATTTAAAATTCTTTTTTTTCTATCTGAGAAGAAGTTTTTAAACAGAAAAAGTAATCGATAAATCATGTTTGTTTGCTCCTCATAAATTATTTCCCTAGAAGATATTTCCAGTGCTGACAAAATAATGGTTAACAGCTATGCACATAATGACTTTTACTGAATTAGGAAAGATGAATTTGCTTCTTTTGCAGAGATCCTTGAAGAGAAAGTCTAGAGCATTACCTGCTAACTGATCTATCTGCAGTTCAACAAGCCTTGGGCAAGGATGCAATTAATTACAAGAAAGTCTAGGGAACGATTAGAAAAGAATGACATAACATGTTTATCAGACTTTGCAATTATGTGCTACTGCTGTCTCCATTATATCTAACCTTTCATCTCCCTCTCTACAATCTGTGTTTCACTACTGCATTTGGTAGATTTCCTTCTGCATATCTGGTAACGTTTGGAGAAAAAGAGGAAAAAAAAAAAGGAACTGTCTTTTTTTTACNTTACACACTAATACTAAAATGTAACATTGCAATAATATATGAGCTTGATTTCACATTTAAGGACTACACCATGAAATCTCTCCCATAAACTTGCTTTAGAGGCAAAGAGAACTGAATTAAGGCATTAACTTGGAAACAAAAAAGACTAAAGTTGAAGTTTATGTGACCACATGCCTTTACCATAGGACACAGTGAATCTTCAGTAATATTATACAGCACGGACTACGGCTTCTCATTAGACTGAATTTAACATGATTCACCAATGATTTTTTGTCCTAAGTCCCACAACAAGTAAGCTATGATGCTTACTGGAAAACTTTCAGCTGCTTCTGGATATTCTACAGTTAAACTTAATTAAGGATTTTGGTGTGTTTTCACCATTTTAGTGTTCTTCAAAGCACACAATTAACTTTATTTTAGCATGAGGCAGAATATTAACATATTCCGGTAACAATTGCTTTAATTTATTTTTAACCTGCCCTTTCCACACCTCCAAGGAACAGAATCAAGTTAGCAATAATCCATCTCACGTACTTCTTGCAAGACCCAGCTCAGACACGTGAGCTGTAGCTGCCTGCAGGCTGTGGTGGTAAAGCACTGCATCACCTCCCCAGCCAACATGGTGAGATCCTGGGTACACCCTGGCCATCCCCACCGACCTCAGCCAGGCTCTGCCACTGAGTAACGCCACCACCTCCACCTCTTCACACCAGGAATGTAACTGTTTGTAGCTCAGACTTAATCCCAGCTGCTTTTTGGTTTGCCTCTGCTCCCCCACCTCCGCTGCTTTCTGACACCAGGCCCTGCTGAACAGTCAGGCCGTGTTACTCTCTGTGGCTGATCAGCACAGCTACGCTGACAGGTCATTCTGGAACTAAAGACTCTAAGAAAGTGTTATGCCTGTAAAGCACAGAGGAATGTTTTATTTGTTCCTCATAAAACTAAAATGTCTGCCTCGTACAGTGGAGAACTGTTCTTGTAAGTGCTAAGCCCTCTTCCTTGGACAGGAAACTCATTTTGAAATTACAGTTTTCTAATGGTCCTTTAGGGAAGTTGAGGTACCCCACTTCCTCTTCAGGAAGAGACGCTTTGCACTGGTGTTGAGAACCACAAAAGAGGAGCTTGGGGAGAGGGAGAGAGGAGGAGGCCATGGAGGGTGGAATTTCTCTTCTGGACTTCTCCTCAGCGTTCCAACAATAATCAAGTAGTGCTTGTACATGCAGAGACCCACAGCACTGAGAACTGCCAAACTCAGCTATGTACACAAGTCTGGTCAGAGGGGGACTCTCCTATTTAAAAGCAGAGGATTAGGAGGTATTCAAGCTGAAGCCAACATAGGCAACAGTTTTTTGATTTAGAACTGACAAGAGACAAACCTAATCCAAATCCAACAGATCAGAGCACTTAGAAATGCTGGAAATGAGGACTTTCTGGATGCAGACAAGATTCAGACTACTTGCCTGCATTTTTCTTGCAGACAGCACTACTTTCACATCTGTTTTATGCTGCTTTATTTCTGAAGATTTAAATGGTGTTTTGCCCATTTAAAAAAAAATTAAATTGGAGGAAGATCTAGATCTCTCTGTGAGGGAGATGATTCAATTTTCAGAAGAGTAACTGTGGATTTACCTGGAAAAAGGAGTAGGTGGGAAAAAGTATTTAAAATTCAGACTAGGCTTGAACTCTTAGGTCAGTCTGTCTTTGGAAGTGTCATGCTACCAAGTTCAAAGGTTGGAGTCATTGACGAGTTCTGTTTCATTAAAAGTAATATTCCCACAGTAGAAAAAAACCCAGACATTTAAAAATCAACTCCAGCAAATGAGCAGGGTCAAGAGAGAAAGCTTTGTTTAGAACTATTAAGGCAAAAGAAAGAGCTTCCATGACATCAGGTTTCACTGAGCTTGTATTCATCCAGCCAGAAGACCAATACAAAAATGTTTTACAAAAACGAGGCCTCACAAAAAGGATGGAAGTTGCATAATGTCTATTCCACTCATTTAATATATTTACTCAAGGCATTTCCCCCCTAGAGAATAATTACATCACCACCACTCAGGCAGCAGGCAACTACAAGACTCACTTTACAGAAATACAGAACATGAAGAGCTCTCTTTTTTATAAAATGAAGAAAAATCCCAAGTTTTTCAGTATTATATGGTTTGGAAGGTATCCTTCAACTACTACATGCTGAAATCAGCTTAATATGAAGATAAACTCCATCTGCACAAATGACTTTTTCTGTGCTTTTGAATAATTCCAAACAAAAATGCAAACCAACACATATTGCTTTAAGTACAGAGATAAAACAAACCAGAGAAAGGCGTGAGAGCTCTTTAATTAGGAAAATCAAATTAATTAGGACTGCAATGTCAGTGTGTGATACATTCATGTATGGACAGCTATTTAATAGCAAAAAAGCCATGGATGCCTCAGAAATCTGACTATACCATAAGCATACAAATTTGATTTAGAAGACATAGTTATGATTGATATTTTTCTTTTTTTCAGTCATTATTAAAGTAGAAGCATTGAGTGGGAACCCCTAAAATTAGAAATTTTCCTTAAATTTTATCTCCAAAGCAGTTTTTATTTAGATCACTTGAAAAACTTCTTTGTAATAGTTAGAACTGGGATATGGGTAGTGAAAACTGGTCTAAGCCTGTTCTCAGCATTTGGACCAAAACTGTTTTTCTCCAGCTGAGGTTTTTAGAAGTTCAGTTAAATATTTTTAAAGGAGAAAAGGAGAAAGGTTACATATTTTTAAAGGAGAAAACAGTTGTGTATCTTCATATTTAAGCTTGAGATAAGACCACAGGAAAAGCTGTTCTCAAGACACTTCCTACTCAAACACAATCAAAACGTGTCAGAAGTCTCCACAGAAACCTCATCCTGAATGAAGTTTTCAGGATTCAGATTTCAGTTTTCCTCATCCTTTACTTTCAGAGATTTTGGTCACCTCTTAGACATCCTACTAAGTTTCCAATTTCACTTCTTGCATTTCCCTGTTTCACAGGGGGCTGCTCTCTGCCCTGAGTATTGTTACATTGATATTTCACAACACTTGAAATTCTGGAACAGAACACAACACATGGTTAAAATGAAACTAATTACTATTAGGCCAGAACAAAACAGGCACAGTAGAAACTGCAGACCTGGATGCTACAAAAGCAAATGCATTTTCCTCCCACTCCTGGAGATTGCTCTAGTTCATTTATCGCTAATTTTCAAACAAAATATTACTGGTCATTACTGACTAAAACTCCTCTCAAGCCTAAATGACAAAGCCTTTAGCTCATCATGCAATCCAGGCTGTAATACCCTCTCAATGTAAATAGTCAATTCAATTGCTCTGACTTCATCCCCAAAATGTTTTCTCTTTTTTTTTTTTATTCACATCTCAAGCTAAATCATTGCTGTTGCATCGAATCTCTTCATCCACCTTGTCTTCAGGGAGATGAAATCATATCTTTGAAAATTAAACTCTTAACAACTAACAGGTGATGTGCTGACACAAGGCCAATTTCTGAATACGCAAATTCCAAGAGGAACAAGTCAGGGGTTTCTTAAAAAAATGTGAAGCCATTCCTCAAAAGAAAACTGAAAACAATATCCAGAAATCAAAGAAAAATGAATGTTGATACAATTCCACTGAGAAAAATATGTATTTGCTACAAAGCCAACTACATGTCAAGGAGTCTACTTATTGTACTTCAAATTAATCATCTTTCCCATCAGCATTTTATTGACTTGAGATTCATTTTACATTATTCCAGAAGGTTTTAACCCAATCAACCAAGGCTGTTAAGAGTTTCCTGCATTCTTCTCTCCGTGTATTCCACCCAATCCCTCAGGAACCTGCAGTTGCAAGAGTGAAGGTAGAATAATTTAACAACTTTCCCTCTTACACATTCCAATAAAACAGTTCTCAGCCTTGGTTCAAAATCATGGAAATCTGATGCAGTGAAAATCAGTTCAAGAAAATTTACTGCTTTGAACAAGC